TTGGTATTGTAAGAACTGATACTTCAGGTACTTTTTTTTTTTCCTTTGTTTTGGTAGAACTGTTTCAAAGGAGGGACCACAGTATCTAGGAGTTTCAAGTTGTGTTATTTTCCTCCAACTCCTTGAGCACAGATTTTTGTTTTCTGCTTGTCTTTATTTATTTTTTTGCAGGCAGACTTAGATGTCTTGCTATGACTGATGAACAGTATTAATGACGCATACATTTCAAGTCTTGCTGAGACTACCTATTCGCGTAGAGGAGCAGAGGTCTCCAGCATGCCTTCTCTGGGTTGAGCATGAAAACAGGTCCTGCTGAGATAAACAACTGTAAAAATGACAGTTTCCAGAGAATAAAACAGGAGGATAAGGAATAAACCAGTCTGACTTGCCACACAGCAGAAATACTTCCTTCAAAATAAATGTGATTTATATTAATTTCAGAGTTTATTGAGAATGGATGCCAACAAAAATTGATAAGTGGCTATTCATATTTATTCTAAGAGATCAAGTATCTCTAGAGTAACAGCCATTGCACTGGTAAAGATAACACCACTAATAGCACTGTTGATGCAGAATTGTCTGCATATCTCAAGTACACTGTATTCAGCTTCTTCCAATATGTTTTATTAGGGAGAAGCAGAAGAAATAGCCTTTGTGGTACTAAGAGGCTTTTGGAGAGTTTAGACAAATAGACTTCTGATATTCATACGTGTTAGTAGGAAAATCTTTGTTTTGAGCATATTGTAGCCACATAAAATTCTGCTGTTTACAATCATGCACCTTGAAAATTGTTCTTGTCGGATACCTTAGCTAAGTAGGGTCAGGTCTGTTTGATACTTGAGTGATATTACAGTACTTGACGTCTGTGGCACTCTGTTTCCAAGGACTTCAGCATGCTTGCAGGCACTAATAAATTAAGCTTCACAATACCTGTGGGTACAAAATATTTCCATTTGCTGATAGGGAGAGGTAATTGAGAAAAGTTAAAGGTGATTTATTTTTTTGTATGTATGTTTTCGTGAATTTTTAAAGGTGATTTTAGGGAGAAGTAGGTGGCTTTATTCCCGTTGTGCAATATACAGTAGGCAGCTCTACATCATGTTTGCTGGTTCCTAAGTTTCCTGGCAAACCGTGCATGTTTGCTGTATTGTGAGTTGAAAAGCACATAGAATGATAGAATTTGCACTAAAATGTCTTTTTCTTTTTTCTTTCGCCCCTCCCCCCAAGTGCTAGAATACTCACGTAGGAATTTTTGCAGTCTCAGGTAGTTTTGGTTTCAGTCAATAGAAGGACCTTGAATAGATTTGTCCGAATAAATGTGAAAGCATGTGTAGCCATTGCTTAAATATTTCCATGGATGACAGCTTTTTTGCAAGAGAGTGAGTGCTTAGTATTGTGCTTGCTGCCCATTGAAAGCGATCAGTGTTTGGCACCTATGGCCTACTGATAGTTTGACCAACTTGTGAGTAGGCACAGTGCCATTTTAACAGATGGATATGAATATAGACAGCCAAGAAACCATGTATGTGTATCTCGTGTATTTGTTAAGGGCATGGTTCCCAGCTGGGGACGTTCAAACTTATGTCCATTTAAAATTTTTGCTTTTATGGATAAAGGGAAGTTGTCATTAATTTTTGTTTTTTTTGTTTTTTTTTTTTTTTAAACTAAATGCCTTCAGGCATAGACCACGTTAAACAAAAAGGGGGGAAAAAAAGGGGAACACCAGCTTCTCCTTCAATAGTCTTGAGGAGCTATGTTAAGTAAACTTAATTCCCTTTTAAGCGAAGCTGCTATCAAGAGACTCACTGTGAATGTCAAGATGTGAAGCATATCACTAGTTTTATTTCACTGGCTTGCTGGCTTTATTGAAAAAGAGGCTACAAATTTTCCTTTTACTGGGCAGCAACCTGTCCAGCATTCAAGCAGCTGAGTGCGTCTGTCCAAGTCTCACTAGAATTATTTGTAGTAACTCAGAGGTCAAGTGATGCAGTCCTTCAGGCCTTCTTCATGTTTCTTGTATTGTTCATAGCTTGAAGACAGTATGCTTATTTTGTGTATGTATGTACAGATGACAGTGAGTGTGATCTTGTCTTATGTTTGAGTCATTAGGCAACACTGCTGAATTTTGTGCTTTCTTCTGAGTCAGTCTTGGGGATCCAGGCTTCTGGTCTATTTTCCCATTACTGCTTCAACTGTTTTCAGTCTGCCCTTTGTTTTAATCCTTTTCCTGAGCAGGATGTCCTGAGAAGCTGCTTAAAGGTCTGCTGTGATCTTTTTGGCCTGCTCTTGTAAGTGATACCAACACACGTAGCCATTCCTACCACTTGTTGTGTTCTTTCTGGTGCTTTCACACCATTATGTTCTCACTGGTATGGTCTTGGTTGAGCTATCTGGAATTACTCTTAGTGCTTGGAAGTCTTATTTTTTCTTCTGTAGAAAATCTGGAGGAAGAACCTTCCTCTAAGAGATTACAGTATGTATCATCTTGAAAAATTAAAACCCCAAATGAACAAACAAATAAACAAACAAAACCCAAACCAAACAAAAAAAAAAAAAAACCCAAAAAACCAAAAAAACCTCAATGAGCTGAAGAGGTGTAGAGAGAAATTTCTTGAAGCTGCAGGTAAAGTCAGTATTAAAATTTAAGTGTAAAATGTCAAAACTGTACCTTGGTTATAGGGAAGAATGTTACTGTGTAGAAGGGGAAATAGGGGAAAGTAATGCAGAATTAAAACATCCTGTTTTGTGATACTGAGGAAGCTTGTGCAATGTGCGTGTTGATACATAGCAATCTCTTCCTGTGATGTTGTTATTTATTGAACCACAGTAGGTATTTAGATGTGGTTCTATGACACAGAGGTAGTTTTTAGATTAATAAGGACTCTGAGATAGTAGAACTTTTCTTTGGCATGGAATGATATAACTTCTCTTCTGCATTTATTCCTATATTGAATGACTGGTGTCTGCAGACTGCTTGCTGCTGGAGCCTAGTACTCTCCGATCAGGTTCTTTTATATCTGCCACGTATGGAGAGCTGTCGTGGTTTAAGCCCAGCTGGTAACTCAGAACCACACAGCTGCTCGGTCACTCTCCACCCTTCTTCCCTGCTGCTCCGGTTGCGATGGGGAGGAGAATCGAAAGACTATAAATCCCATGGGTTAAAAACAGTGCAATAATTAAAATATAATATAAAACTACTACTGATGTTAAGGAAATTAACAAGGGGAGAGAATATAAAACTAAAAAGGGAAGGAAAAAAAACCTAACCAATAACCAGAAGTGATGCACAGTACAATTGCTTACCACCCACTGACACCCAGCCTCACCCAAGCAGTGATCTGCTGCTTCTGGGTGACTCCCCCCAGTTTATACACTGGGCGTGATGTACTGTGGTGTGGAATACCCCTTTGGCTAGTTTGGGTCAGGTGTCCTGTCTCTGCTTCCTCCCAGCTTCTTGTGCCCCTTCTCACTGGCACAGCAGGAGATTGAAAAGTCCTTGATCAGGGTAAGCGCTACTTAGCAACAACTAAAACATTGGTATGTTATCAGCATTGTTCTCAGACTAAAGCTGAAACACCGTGCTGCGCCAACTACTAGGAAGGAGAAAAATCACAGCTGCAGATGTGAATATTAGTGGAAGCAATATAATTTTCAGGAAACTTGACAGTTCTTCTTGCATTTAGTAAGTAGAGAAATAGATATGGACAGCTCTCTTCAGGTATTGGGTGACAGATATTATTTGGGGAAGAAAATTTCTCAAAAATACTACCCAGTCAGAAAAGAGGCTTGTAGAGGGGGGAGCACTTTTGGAACAGCTGTCATACTTACTTGGTTTTCTATTTGGGAAATTAAAGTCCTAGAGGAACATTAGAACTAAAAGAGGAAAACTGATGTTAAGTAACTGCATTTATCTTAGGGTTATTAAATTGAGTAGCTAAGACTACCATGAGAGATTTTGCTATTCAGAAACTTCCTGAATTGTATATTAATATTCTTTCCTGCTTCCCCAAGCAAAATCAAATAATAATATTAAAATATCACCATTCAGAATGGTATCTTTTAGAAAATAACCGTGGCACTGTTTTTATGACTTTTATCTTTGTAAGTTAGAGGGAAAGATCAGTTCTCTGTAAAACAGATCATGAAGACTTTTCAACATGAAGAGATCTAGTGCACTTTTTGCCATACCATGGCTGCATATTCTATAAGTTCTTTTACTGAATCAAAATCTTACTCTGCTAAAATATCAAAACATTTCTTTGTTCACAGTGAGGCCTGTTCTGCAGAAAGATGTACATGTTTGGGTCCAGCGGGCCATTAAGTTAGTCTGGAAATAACGCTTATCTGAGACCTGAGGTTTGCAGGTGACAATCTCAAAATAGGTAGTTAGGTACTAGTTTGATGATGATCTACTAAATGCTGCCTTGTGAACAATAAGCAGACTTTTGTTTTTGTTGCTTGTAGTTCTGTAGGAGAAAAAATAATTAACTGTTTGAATAGCTTAATGTTTTGGGTACTTTTTAGAGCAAAGAGGAATTCCTCATACTCTTACTGAAGGCTTGGACTATATGACACTTCTTCAATATGCAAGTTTCCCTCCAGGAAAACTGATGAGCTTTATTTCATTAGTTTACTTTTTTCCAAGTTCAGATCTATGATTGGTTGTGATTGATTAAGTATGTTATATTCTGAGATTTTTTTTTTCTAGGATGTATTATATAGGGTCTTCTAATAGGTTTCCCTTGTGAAGAGTTTTGATGACAAATTTTTTTGTAATGCCTCCTGGAAAAATTAGTTGGTTTTCACTTAGAATTCATGCCAATGAAACTACTTTCTATATTTCTTTTAAAGTATCTTTGTAGAAACAAATTCAAACTTAAACTACTCATGCTTTTTTTTCCTTCTAATGGATTTCTACGTAAAATAAGCCTGGTCAGCATGTAACCTATGCTTTCTTTCGTTTTGTATTTCATTCCCTTCCCACTTTTCCCTCCAGGGAAAATGCCATATAAGAAGACAACTGCTGGAAAAAGAGCCCCTGCAAAAAGGAAACTTGCTGAATTATTTGCTCTGGGAGAGGTTCTAACAGATACATCAAGAAAAGAATGGAAATTAGGTGTTCCTATAGGGCAAGGAGGCTTTGGACGCATATACCTTGGTAAGTGTAGTTATCTTTGATAATGCTTTAAAATGGAGAGCGAGATGTTTATCCTTACTCAAAGTGCTGGAAAGTTGACCCTAAGTTAGAAACACGGAGTGTCTCCAAGTGATCTTTTTTACTAGAACCTTAACTTGGTTCACAGAGTTGGAAAAAAAGGACAAGAGTGGACAAATTGTCATTGTAAGCACTGTGGTTGTATGAGATTCCAGTGACAGATCTTTTTTTTTCTTTTTCCTTTTTTAACCCAGCCTCTAATTCATTACTTTTTAGCAGTGAAAGGATAGTTTAGTATTTATTTAAATTTGGGTGTTTTTTTTTTTTTTTTTGTCTGACCAAAAGAAGGTATTTTTGGATAAGTGTCCTTCTATCACAAATTCTGAACCAAAACTGTCTCAGTATATTCTATGAAGGCTACTGATCAGCCAGTATGTTGGCTGGTTTTGACTTTGGTGCTGCTTTTGACTTTTTGATTGCTTTGTGAATTTCCGACATGTCATACGCTATTTTTTTTAATGTAATCAGTATTCAAAGCAAACTGAAATCTTGGACTTTACAGTTTAAAGCAGTAGTGCAGATCCTGTTTTGTAATGCTCTTTCTTTTTTTTTTTTTTTTTTTTTTTGTGAATTTAAGGAAAATTTCTTTTAGTGGATCGTGTTCCATATTTAGTATCTCTGTTATTTTCTTACTTGAATAGATAAGAGATGTCTTGAGGATACCTCAGGGAATTAAAAAAACTTAATTGCCCCTAGTCACTTTCCAAACAATTTTGAAGGGACTAAAGTTAATGTGATCATGATAATAAGGTTTTCTTTTGCTATGCATTTATGGTCTTCCTCCTCTTGGTGAAAAAGTTACACTGAATTCATACTGAATTGAAAAAAAAAAAAAAATTAATGATCTATCCTGCTTTCATAATGAACAGACCCCAGTATAGGTGGATTAAGAAGAAAAACAGGACCAGTGAGTGGCTTCTTGCCAAAGCTCTCTACTACTTACTTAGCCGTGCTCAATGAGCTACTAAATTTACTGATACTGGAGTTCTAGCTCACTCAAATTGTGTAGTTCTTTGTGTTAAGAATTCCTGCTTCGTTGAAGCCAAAGCTTGCTCTCTGTTTGCTTCTCCATCATTTGCACAAAGTTGTGCTCCTGACTGTTCCTGTGCTTTGTGCTTGCCTAAGTTGATGTCCTTCATACCCATATCTTCTGTCACAAATGTCAACAGCTTAGTAGCAACAGAAAGTCTCTTTTGGATATGTGACATTGTAAAATAGGAGAGAGAATGTGTTTTCTGTCTTTATGCCCACAACTATGTATGTTCATCAAAGTCTTAGAAAATGACAGAAATGCTATTGATTAGGAGAAAGTTATTGAATAATAAAAAGAGAACTTTATTTAGTAAACTGCCTGTTCTACTCAAACAGAAGGGAGAATGCAAGACCATATTGCTATAGAGCAGACTTGCTGAATAGAATAGTTATATTACCAAAGTCTAAGGTACTGATATATACTCATGTCAGTACTTAATTGCTTTGTGGGGTTTTTGGCCATGCTGCATAGCAAATAAGTTATGTTTTGTGACAGTTTTCTCTTGTACTACTAATAAATGCTTCCTTTTTAACAGCTGATGCTAATTCTTCAAAGTCGGTTGGCAGTGGTGCACCTTATATTGCAAAAGTGGTAAGACAGCATTTGAATCTTTACTTCACAACTTGGAAATGTTTGTTCTAGGGTAGCATGTATAATTTAAAGCATCTTCTGACTGAAAATAATACAATTGCTTAGTGCTGTAGAAGTAAATGTAGTGATACAGAGGAATGCTGCTGAGAATTGAGACTCCTGTGAATGAGGGGGGATAATGGAACATGAGCAGAGTTGAAAAAGGTTCATGAAATGGATCAGATTCTGTTTCATTTGGTGCTTACTGTAAACAGCCCAAACATCACAAAATTAATGGAATCTAGCTAGTTTTTAGAGAATTTCTGTGATTCAACAGTGAGTCTGTATGTACTGTTGCTCGCCACTGGAAGTTGGTAAGCTAACAGATGGCTTGGGAGTAGAAACAGCAAAACTTTGATTCCCGAGGTCCCCACGGATACTAAGTCCTTTAAATGTTTTATCATATTTTCTAATTTTGATTAAATTAAAATGGCATTGACACAAAATTTTTTTAACCTCATGATTAGAGAGAGGAAAAAGCATTGTTGATGGCCCATTGTAGAAAATCAGCAAAATCTTATTATTAGTTGAAATTTTCTTTTTTTTTTATTGTAAGATTCAAAACATGATTTATTTAACTTGATTTGACCATAATGTTCTCTTCCTAAGGTATAAAGTCTTCTTTGTTAAATTTTGCTAGATTATTTTGTATAGATCTTACTATTATGTATAATTCCCCAGTAAAGTCTTAGTGAAAAACTTAGGAATGTGTGAATACCCATAGTAGATCCAGGCCATTCATTATCTTGGTGGTACTTTTGGTCATGAGACAAAAGCAAATACCAGAAAACTGTACAAGAATTCCACAATGTTAAAAAAAAAAAAATAATCTTCAGCACAGTACAGAACTGCAATGTTTTAATATTTTAGTTATTAAACTATATGGTGATACTGTAAAACTTTACTGCAATAGTTGGCCCTTATGTAAATATGTTAGTACTTTTAACATTGTTCCTGAAACGAAAAGATGAGGTTTATTTAGAATAAAATACCTTTCACTTAGTATGTGCCTTTAATCTTGATACTTATATCTGCTGACTACAGGGAAATTCTAGGGTGTTGGTTTTGATACTGTTCAGACACCCCAAGGTACTGTTGGTGATGACCCTCTCACTTACTCTGGTCACTTAGTGAAAAACACACTGCTTACCATGCAAATGGTAAAAGTGCTGCACTTTCAATAGCAGTGTACTGCTGCCTTGAGGTGTTTGTGGGCAGGAACCACGTAGGCGAGGAGCCCCAGCCTGCAGCTGTGGCATGGTGGCAACCTGCTTTTTTATGTCCAACCTGTAGGGCAGGTGGCTATTACGTAGGACCTGTGGCCTGTTTTGGAATCATCAGCTCTGCTTTATTTTATGCTGTGCATAATTGCTATCCTCCTCTTTCCTGGAGTTTGAAGCCTGTCCATCTGCTTCTCTTCTCCTCCACTGTGGGCTCTGAATATAAGAAAAGTCACAATTACTTTTGGGTTGCATTTATGCTAGATTCACTTTACTGCAGCAATTTGTAAATACCTCCATTGCTGATCTCCTAGATGACTACTTGCTTTTAATTTGTCCTTAACAATTTTGCCTTTATGGTACTAAAAGGTAGCCCTGGTCTTTGTGCTGCCCTCACAAATGACCTATAACATATTATGCCTCTGCAGTCTAGTGTAACACAACTACGCATAAGAGGCTATTTTCTGATGCCTTTGTTATTGTTAGTTGATCCATCAGCTGAAGCGAAGTGGCTAACAGCTTTGAACAATTATTAATGTTTAACAAAATATGTGCTTCTGTAGTAATGTTCTTCAAATTAAGCTATTAAAGCGGGATGGAAATTGGCTTAGTTTTTGACATATCCTCATAGTATTGATATCTGAGCAGTAAAAAATGAATCACAGTTTTTATTAAAAAAAGAAATGCTTTTTAACGTGGACCTTTCAGATGACATTGTTCAGGAGTGGATGCAGAGTTTAATAACACTTCATTAAATTGCTGACTGAAAAGATCAGAATTCTTTAAATACTACATGAAGAAATTCATTGGGTTTCCAATGTGTACTCCATGATCTCTTTCAGTATGGTATCTTTTCTAATTAGACTTTAATTTCAGTTTTGCAAATCATGTGTTTAGAATGACCTTGGGCATAAAGTTGTAGAAATTCGTGTTTGAAAACTTTCTGGTTATAAGATGACTAGTATGGCAAATATTGGATATCATTATGTGAGCCTTTTTAAGATAATGTATGCATTTATTTATCTGTATGTAGAATTAATTAATGGTATTATGTGGAAACAGCTTCATAGTCAACATGAAGATCTGTTTTGTGGCTAAGTCATTTATCCATCCCTCATATGGAAAGATACCAGATTTTCAGCATTTGCAGACTAGAGAAAGAAGTATTTTATTTTTTTTCTGCACTGAAACATATTTTTTTGTGGAATAATTTATTTAAAGGTAAATATTTTAAGAATTCTTAATACCTACAGTTTTTTGCTCTATTTTAGTTAGAAAATAACATTCCTCAAAACTATGTAAATTGAATAAAAAATATATTCAAATTAAGTTAGAGTATTAATGGATTGTGCTACACAGAAACAAATGAATAGGTCAAAGTAAAATTTGTTCAAGGTAACCACAGTATAAGAATTGAGCTATTTAACCCTTCTCCTCTGTATATATAATACCTGTATGGCTAACTTGTTGTCTGTAGTGAGTAAATGAACTAATTGAAAATGAACATGCATAAACCAAAGTTCATGTGCATTTATCAGTTGGTTTAGTTGTTTTGGTTTTAGTCATATTTTTTTTTTTTTTTTCCTTTTTGCTGTACCACAAGGAGTGGCCAAAAACTGTTGTCTTTGCTTCACTGTTTATCAGGGCAGTAATGCTGGAGAAAGTGAGGTGGAGATAGGCGGTAGCTTTGTGATTGAGTATCGAGGCCGAGGAGTGGTGTCTAAGCTTGTATCTGTTCTCATTCGGACTCTGCCTCTGAGGCAATACATCAGGAGTACACTAAGGTCCATGTTCCTCAGTGCGTTTTTATCTCTTTACACAGCTTCATTAATGTCAGACAGCAGTAAACCTCTATGAGCTGAGTGGTACTCTCTGGCCTGTAGCAATTTCCTGGATCAGTAAATCTGCATTTAAAAGTTACAACTAAAACCATTTAAGATTGATATTTATATCTTGGAACTTTTGCTAGTATCATGTGATTGTATTCTTTGTGGATTCCCTTGCCAGGAATCTCATACGTAGTTGGTTTTGTTTTGATTTTTTTGTTAGTTTTTTAAAATGTAAGGTATTCCAGAACAGGTATTTTCACTGAGGTAGAATTAAGTTGGACATACATGAGTAATTAGACTAAAATAAATTGCTTAAGCTTATCTCAAAATCAATCACTTAGAAATTGCAAGAGTTTAAATTAATTAGTTGTGTGGGTTTGTGTTTTGTTTTCAAAGAAATTTCCCTTTCACTTTAGCTGCAATAGATGGTTACCATAGATTTGTCTCTAGAAAACGGAACTGAAATACCTTATGTTAGCTTCACGACAAGGTAGATTCTTAAGTCAAAATAGGTATGGTTATAATTTAGTTTAAGGTAATTGGAAGATCCTCTGTAAATTTTATCATGATAACTAATGTATGAAGGGAACAAAATACCATCTTTTTGGCAAGAATTTAACTTTTGTCAAGATTTTTTCCATCAGATCATTTCAGGTGTTATTTTAGGCTTGGTAATAGCTATTGCAACTGATGCAATCCAGTTTTAATTTGGAAAATCTGAGATAATGAATGTTGTTTGATGTTCTCTGCTAAACTTTTGCTGCCAATTATTGGTAATATTTCTATATATTTCAGTTAATTTGTATTCTTTAATCTTTTGTTATCGGAAAGGATTCTTTGATACCCTTAATTTTAAGCAATTTATAATAATTTTTTTTTTTTTTTGAGGCAACCTTCTTTTATAAAAAGAACATATTTATTGAATTTATCAGTACTGGGTAGAGCATTTGAGAAACAGTATTTCTTTATAGGGTGAATGTTACATTTTGTGAGCTTTTAATAATTGTTAGGCACTACTACAACAGGTTTTAACTAATTTTAAATTGTCTTAAAGGAACCCAGCCAGAATGGACCTCTTTTTACTGAGTTAAAGTTCTACATGCGAGCTGCTAAGCCAGATGAAAGTAAGCAGTCTATTAAAATGTTTTTAATGAACTACAAGCATTTAGGAAAATAGAGCCTACAGAAGTAAGGTCAAACTTTTAAGAGAATTTTTTTAGGTAATTTTAAAAATTATTTTTAAATTACTGAAATCTAGTTCAAACATATGGTAAAATTAGGGTTTTTTTGGTAAGATGTTCTTAATATTTGTGTTGCTGGTGTTGTCTAAATTGAAACTTTAGTTGTGTCCCTGTCCCTATGATGGATGTGTGATTATCTTTCCAGTACACTTTGCATACAAGTTCTCATGAAATAAGCAGCTCACATGTATGCAGAAACTGTAAACGCTGCAAGTACTCCCTTTTTACATAAGTCTCCATGCAATTTCATGAACTTATCTTTATTTGTATTTTCAGTTCGGGAGTGGACAAAGTCCCGTAAACTGCAGTATTTAGGTGTACCAAGATACTGGGGTTCTGGCTTGCATGAAAAAAATGGAAACAGGTGAATACATCTTTTGTTGGCATATACTTGAATTTATTTCATCCACACCTACTATACCTTTTAACCTAATTTACTTTATATGATATTATTTTCCATCTATCTTCATGTTCACTTCTGCTATGAAGTTTTGCATTTATAATGGGATGTTTAAAGAATAGATACGTTTTCTCTGTATTCTGTTCCTTGCTTGTATTTGTGTCTATTACATTCTTTGTTATTTAGTTTTCATTTGTCTTGAACACTGCTGTCATATATTGATACTGTATATATGTAGTTTAGAAGCTTTTCATTTTTGAATTAAAATAAAGTCAACTTCTGGTCTATAAGTCCTTTAATAATATGACTATCTTTAAACTTTTTCTTCTAATATGGTGTACATTTAAAGAGAATTTTCACTCACACATATAAAGGACTTAGTGTTCTCCCAGAATCTGTTGGGTTTTTTTTTGCCTAGTGATAGTCTTTCTGAGTTAATATGTGAGCTAGAATAATTGCTAGTCTCATGTTAAATTTGTTTAAAGTCTAGGTATAGTTTTTAGTACTGTTCTGTGTCATGAAAGGTTTTTGTGGCTAAATGTTGTATATTATGTCTATTTATGTAGCAGTCCTTGTTTCTTAGCAGGCTTTCTCTAAACAATTGTGCTACAAAGGAGTTTGAGCAGTTCTCTGGCAGCTTATAGTAAGCCAGGCTTCCTTGTGCAGACCACTACATAGGGCAGTTTGTATGTATGCCCTTGTATGTCAGAAGTATCGTTTCAGTTGGTTCTCAACTTTAATCTAATGTACAAACATTACTTTTGAGAGGCAAAAGTAAGCATGACAGTGATTTACACCTTCTCCCACCCCAATAAACTTTTCTTTGCAGTGTTAAGTGCAGAAAGTTTCTTTGATATAGCCACTCTGAGCTCTTACAGTAATAGAACCAGTTTGGCAATAGTAACAAGTATCAGAACACGTTTGGCAACTGAGAGATTTTTGGTTTTAATAATAGGTTCAAAACAGGTCGCAACAGATTTCAAGTCACGATGTTAAGTCATTTACTCATTTATAAAGTAAAAAAATGTATTTCTGTAAGTAATTAATGCTTGGATTTACCTATAATAAATTACAATACATATAGGTTCCTCTGCGAGTACTTGTTATTATATTGCATAATTAGTCAGAACGAAAGAACAGTTCTTTTGATAGATGAACTTTTGATGAGCACCTGTAAAAAAGTTGAGAATTGATGCACAACATTAAAAAAACCCAACTCAAACATTTCCCACATGTGTTTCCTGTTTACCTGCAGTTTATCTTTTGAGAGATATGTTTTCAATCAGTAGTTTGTGCAATTGACACATAAATAAAATACTTTGCTGAGTACAATTCAGTAACTTTGCTGGGGTTTTTTTCTTCCTCCTTGAATTTAGTTACCGGTTTATGATAATAGACCGATTTGGCAGAGATCTTCAGAAGATGTATGAGGAGAATGGAAAGCACTTTTCCCATAAAACTGTACTGCAATTGGGCTTGAGAATAGTAAGTTTAAGAAATGTATTTTTATTTTTACAACCCATCTTCCCTGTGTTAAGTCTTTCAGTTAAATCACACTTTTGTGCTGAGTACAGGTCCTCTGCTGGGTGGAGCTGGGTACTGCATTTATATGACTCTTGTTTTGTTAGCTTGATATCCTGGAATACATCCATGAGCATGAATATGTGCATGGAGACATCAAGGCCTCAAACCTTCTCCTGAGTTACAAGAACCCTAATCAGGTATTTCTGATGCATTTTATTCCTCATGTTTTAAACCTTCTATTTGACAACACATGGCAGTGCTTTGAACCTGTGAAATCTAGCAGAAGCTCATTTTTAAGAATGTATATGGTAATATTATTTCTGCTTGACATTTATATCTAGTTAATATTCTATGATTTTTTTATGCCTTTTGCTGGACAGTTATCAAATTGACTGTTTGGCCTAAATAATATTCTAGAGAAATTCTCAAGATAAAAAAAAAATTGACTCACAAATAAGTATTTGCAGGTGGAAGCTTAAAATTATATAGCACACTGGTAAATTATGTTTGCCTGTCTGCATTGTTACCTCATTTCTTTGTTCAAGAAAACCATCAGATAAGTGTTCTGTTACTTGGAAAAATTGGTGTTTAAAGTGTTGATTGTTCCACTTGATTTATGGGAGTCTCATTTTTCTGCATATTTAACTCTCGTTTCTATTCAAACAATGCATGTTAGACTTTCAGAATTATGTATGTTGTCTTGCTTATATGTTTGAGTTTATGAAATAAGTAAAATAATCTCAGTTCTCTTGAAGTAAATGTGGTGTTAGTGAGAAGTAATAGTATGAAGTAGTATTCAAATGGGACAGCTGACTTTAAAGAGAGCAGGGGACAGTGAGTATATTTATGACTCTGATTATTATTATTTTTTTTTTTTTTTTACATCTAATCTTACCAATTATAACTGCCAATTTTACTTTACTTGTCCTCTGCATCAGCATGAAATGACCTCCAGATCAGACTGCTACGTGGAAAACCACAAAACCTATCTGACACGTTTTAAAATCACACATAGTATTATCAGTAAAGCACTGAGGAAGGATCATTTAAAGTTGAAAACCTCACCACTTTTAATATTTTTTTTTAAGAATTTAGAGGAATGGTTGGGACTTACATTTGTTATATGCAATCTTTTTTGTATTTATAGTTTTTTAATCTTGGAGTTCTTTGTGGAAATTGCTAGGTGTACTTGGTGGATTATGGGCTTGCCTACCGATACTGTCCTGAAGGAGTTCACAAAGCCTATAAAGAAGATCCCAAAAGGTGTCATGATGGAACTATTGAATATACCAGTATTGATGCACACAAAGGTGTAGGTAAGGGCCTAAAAATGTTCTCGAAGATAGGCATTTGTGCATCCTTTTTATAAATACAGAAGACTCTATTTGCTTTGAGTTTTGTAAACAACGAGGTTTCTGAATCTATAAAAGTATTTTTTTCTTTTCTATGGGTGATGCTGGCATTTTCTCTTTTTCCATTTACTGGCTTTTACTTTGGTATTAATTTACTGTATTTTTAATGTAACTTTCTTAAATAGGGTTCCTCAATTTCTCAAGACTGTTAAGATGCTTAGTATATTGCTTGTTATTAACTAAGTAGGAGTGGAACAGTGCCTTTGAGATCCAGATAGAAAAACAGGCCTAGTTTTGGGGTTTTTTTGGTAAGGCTTAGGCATCTGATTGCTTATTGTCCTCTATTCAGTTTTCAAGCCACAGAGAATATTTCTGCATTGTGGAATACTTTTTTCAGGAGGTGGCGTTTCAGCACTATTACTTTTTTACAGAAGAAGGGAAGTAAAAACTGTTTTGAACAGAAAGTCAATCACTTCACTAACTTGCTCTATTTTTTCCACCATCTGAGTACTTAAAGAGCTTCCCAAATTGGGATAACTGCAGCATGTCATATCTTGAATAGAAGATAGAGATTGATAAAAGACTTGAAAATGAAGGTATCCTTCCAGATGTTGGAACAATAATTTTTTCCTTTCTTGTTTTCATGCTAAAATGAATAACTAAGTAATGGATGCAGTAGTGTTGCATTGTTAGCATTGGCTTTCTGTTGTCTTAACATATTTACAAATTTTAACTGCTGTTAAACTGTGTATACTTTATTAGGTGTTCTTATGGTTCCTTTTTTTGTGTGTGCATATATATTTAGCACCGTCAAGACGTGGTGATCTGGAGATCTTGGGTTACTGTATGATTCATTGGATTAGTGGCCATTTACCATGGGAGGATAATTTGAAAGATCCAGATTTTGTCAGAGACTCAAAAATTGGGTGAGAAACTACTTGTTTTCTTTCTCTTTTGGAATTAAAAATAGGAATGAAAATGTCTTAGTGTAGAAATGCTTTGTACTTTCAGTATATCCCCTTTTGGTGAGTGGGCTGTTGTTTTGTATACCCCCCCAGTTTCTCTTCATCGTATCTCATGTATCCTTGGCTCATAATTATACTTCATTTGCACTGTTCTACTATCTTCTTTTGCATGCTTATTTATCCACCACGGTATTGTTGCTTTAGAATACTGCTATGGTTAAGCCCAAAGGCATTCTTAGAAATATGCTGGTAACCATTAGTCCCAATTTACTTCTTTCTGGAGAAGCATGGGGTATGAATAGCCTTTGTAACACCATGCTCTGAAGTCAGTGGCAGAGATGAGAGCTAAAGGTGGCTCTTAAATGTCTTTGAGCATCATTTCACCTAAAGGGCTATTAATGTAGGAATTTTAAAAATTGGTTTTCTTTTTTTTTTGTACCTCTCCCTTGCTGTTACATTTCTTCATCTTTCTCCCAACCCCACTCAACCCTCTCTTGTCAGATATTTAATATGAAGAAAGCTGTCCCAGCATAGCAGTATGTGTCTCTAACAAGTATTTGTATCTGGCTTCCTTATCTCTACTTTTAACACTTTGACCTCCATCAATGTTAGTGAAGCTCTGCTCCCTCCCCCTCCCCTTAGTTATTATTTTGGCAGGGGATCTGGTCTGCATAATATAGGCTAGAGGAAGAGTCCTCTAGCAGGAAGAGGTGAGAGCATTGGTATACAAGGTTTTAAAACTGACCAGTTCTAGTCTTCTACTTGCACCCTTTTATAAGAATCAGAAGCTGTTGAGCAAAACTTGACCATATTTCAGATAGCCTGCCTGGCATTTTTAAGCTTCTCAATAATACTGCACTCCTAAAAATGGCTGTACTAAGTCATACCAAACATTTATCTGTTAGTGTTTCCTGTCTGACAGTGGCCCAAGCTAGGTACCTGAGAAGTTTATCAAAACATGGCAAGATCCAAACTTTGAAATAATCCCTAGTTTTGAATAATTTTGTTTTTCAGCTGTAGAGATATTTCAGTTTTGATGGACAAATGCTTTCCTGGCAAAAACAAACCAGGTAAGAAGAACCATTTTTAATTAAAATACTTGGGTTTGTACCATGTGGTAAGCATTCTCTAATAATTTGGTTTAGTGTCCTTTTTCTTTAAAATAATAAAATCCATCAATCGGTTTGGGTCCCATCACTAAATTGTAGGCAACTTTAGACAGTAGCTGGAAGCTCTGAAATTCATATTAAGGTGGGGCATGTTCAATGCATACAAGGGAAAGCTGTGCTACTCCGCATTCAAATAAAACCAGATAGATTCAGTTGCTACATAAGATTAAGAGTTGTCATACTGTCAGCAGTATGTCACCTTCTGAGAGGTGTGTCTTGGGCATTGTGCTCTAATCTGTTGTTTCATTAAGTCCTCCTTGTTTGCTTAAGTTTGTACCTACTTTTCTTCCTACTTTTATCAAAGCAACAATGTGACATGAATTAGATTGTTGATTAAGAGAAGTTTAGACTCTTCCTCTTGGCTGCAGTTATACAAACTGCAGACACTGTTGCTTCTGACAAACTGCAGACACTGTTGCTTCTGACTAAAGACAATATTAAGTATTTGCAAATACGAGATGTTTAAATTTATTTTTCACAATGGGATTTGAGATTTAAAATATGAAGTAAAGCAGATTTGAAAGATAGCATAGATTGTTTCTATTTGGCATTGGTGATTTGCTGAGTAGATTTATTTTTTTAAAAAAGCTTGACTATTAGAAATACACATTCTTGGAATCTTAAGTATTTAGTTACTTGCAGCTACCCCAGCTGATGAGAAGAGAGTTTTCACTGGTCCTTTTTTTTTTTCTTTTTTTTTTTTTTTTTTTTTTTTTTTTTTTTTTTTTTTTTTTTTTTTTTTTTTTTTTTTTTTTTTTTTTTTTTTTTTTTTTTTTTTTTTTTTTTTTTTTTTTTTTTTTTTTTTTTTTTTTTTTTTACTGTAGTCAAATGTTTAATGTATTTTTTTTTAATGTGTGTTTCAGTGTTGAACTGATAAAGTTCTAAGAGAATACTGAGCTTCCTTTTCAACATTTTAAAATACAGACATAAGAAATACCATGCAAAAAATCATTCACTGGTGAAGATTGGCCTATTACATTTTTTACAACTGACTTTTCTTCATTGCAATGAACATGTAAAAAACAGTGATGCTGTCATCACTGGGTAATGAACCTTGGTATAATTTTTTTCTGAAATATGTTGTAGTAAAGCCATAATTATGAGTTTATAAATAACCATTTCAAAAAATAGCATAAGTAGTGCATGCATAATTTCTGACTCTTTGGTGGTAAAAGTGAATGATTAAAATGTTTTCAAATAGAGATTAATTGGAGGTACCATTTCTTTAGATGAAATAGCCAAATACATGGAAAAGGTGAAACTACTCAGCTACGAAGAGAAACCGGTTTATCAGCATTTCCGAGAAATACTTCTGCAAGGTCTTAAGGCCATTGGGCAAAAAGATGATGGAGTACTTGACTTTGGCTTGTCAGAGAACGGAGACTTGCAAACAAATCCCACACAAAAGGTTTTTACTCTAAAAAATTATGTCTGCTTTTAATGCATTGTTGAGCTAAATATTACAGTGGTATTGGAAGTAAGTGCAGTAACTGTATCAGGTAGAAAATAGGCATATATTGAAATGTTTAAGTTCAACTCTTACATTATTTCTCTCTTTAAACTTCAGTAATTGTTATTAAAACTTAATAGAGAATGATATTTATAGGTGTACTTTCATAATATACAATACCTTGGATGGCAGAATGCATAGGTGTAATAACATTTGAACAGATGAACATTCCATTAATTTACTTATTTTCTTTAAACTGTTAAAACTCCAGGTGGATCAAAATACATGTAAGGTAAAATAAGTTCAGGTTTCGTTTCATATTTCCATGACTAGTTCACAGTTTAGTTCTAAGTATACCTCTTTATGCCAAGTGCTTGATTCTGGAATTCACATACTGAATTCACTATGGTCTAATATGTTATTCATGAGTCTTAACTATAGTGGTAGCCTGGGGGTATTTTATTCTTTGTATTTAAGAAGCCTTAAACTATAGATATGGACTCCCGTTTGAGTACAGTGTAAGAACTTTTTTAAGCCTTAAGGAAAGCATGTGTTAAAACAGTTTAATAGTAACGATTAAAAATGGTCAAATAAGGGAACAATAAATATTAGCCTGTACATCAAAGTGCATTTGTTACTTATTTGCATTTGTTAATAACAGGTGGGCAGTTTTGTTGATTCCTTTAGCGTGAACCAGGGAACTAAGAATTATAATATAGGATAATAGTACAAGAATTCTGCCTGCTTACTGACTTGATCAGCAGGGTGCTAAAGATGGGGAAAAAGCATAAGAGAAAAAAAACTGCAGGATTTTAAAGTCTTCTAAGGGTACATGTCCAGCTTTTCTTCTTTTTGCTTAGTAAATGGTACTTTGGCTAAAATTGTACAGCCATTGTCTCTATACTAATATTTTGCTGAACTGGATCTAAAGATCTGTCCAAAAGGAGAGTTCATTATCATAAATTCTTCTGTTCCCCCTGTGGATCGACATGGCTTGAGAACTGTATTCTGGGGAAAAAAAACCAAACCTGTTTTTAATGGTTGACTGGTTTCTTTGCTGAATAAGTTGGCCTGCTGCAGAGCCAACATCTGTGACCTTTAATGTCCTTGTCCAGCAGAGATTGCTGGCGCACATTTCCAATGGAATAAAACTTCAAAAATCTAATTTCTGTAGTCAATATTAGTCAAGACCATTCCCAAAAGGTGAGATAATACTTTTGCGTAGGTTCTAGCCTACTAGCATCAATTAGGACTTAGGTTTTTTTACATGGGGTTTCTTTCTTTTCTTTGAAAAAAACACCTAAAACCAACAATAGCTACAAACCACCAAAAACCCCCCTCACCCTCTGAGGAACCATGCTAAGTACTTCCTATCAGCTACTGCTAAAGCGTGTGGACAGAATAAGTTTTTTCCCTTGAAATCAGTTTGACATAACCTGCTTGCTTTTGACCAAATACCGGGACAGATGACTCTTCAACCCATGATGGATTTTCTAGGCCTTGTTACAGCTGTGGTATTTGCTAGGGTACAAGAATACATGGTGTCAGTCCTCCTTCCAAGGGTGTATGTTGCACTTCAAGAATAAATAGGAAGAGAGTCTTCAGCAGGCTGTCTCTCTTCCCAGAATACATGTTTGGGAAGGTTTTTCTTCCAGAGAGAAGATGATTTGGGCTAGTTGAGAATGGCTGGACACTTAGATATACAGAGGAAGAAAGGAAGAACACAGAATGCTGGTTAAAATTATATGTATTTTCAGCTGCGATGGGAAGCTCAATGTGATGGCCGTTTTAAAGATAAGCTCCAGATTCCAAACTCTGTTAGAAAGTGCTTTCCATAAAGATAATTTACCATTGATCAGTAGCATCTTGCCTCTGAAAGCCAGTATCTTCTAGCACATGCTGAATTTCTTTTTGGCATGCTTAATGTCTAATTTGGAAAAGAAAAATGAAGTCTGGCATCTGCCCTTGAGAAGACTCTGACCTCTTCCATAGAGTATTTATGGCATTTTGGCTGTACTGATCTTTTAATCTCAACATGTCTTAAGACACTTACTCTTCAATTCCTTTGGGGTGAGCCACCATAATGCTTTCTTAAAACAGTGTTATTTGGTGTCCTGGAGTTATACTATTTCATAATTAGGAGACAATATTTCTAGATTCTGCATGAATAAATTCTTAGAATGTAGGAGTCTCCTGTGCTTTCAGCTTGTATATAACTAACTGAATGATGTGCATTATATGTTGCACACAGGCGTGGTTGTTCTGGAATCTCAGTCATTCTTCAGTGTTGGTATCTGGCTAATAGCTATATTAAAAGTTAACATTTTGTTTTCTGTATCATGACTCAAGTTTCCCCAGACATAAGTAAATGAAACACAGTCCATAGTGCTGCTGGAGGTTGTGGGGTTTTTTCTTCCCCTTCTCTCCATCTCCTGTAAATTACATGAATGGTGTATGTGTGTGGTATTTTATAATAATTCTAGCAAAACAAGAAGCTAACAGAACCATGTGTTCAAGGAAGTACATGCAACTCTTGACAAATTATTTAGGACAAGGACCACATCTTACTTTCCTTTAGTGCTGACGAGTTGCTAGGAAATATTAGGAGCAAACTAAACTGGAAAAATATGGATCTTAGTGATTTGTGGCCCTTTCTAATGTTCAGCTTCAGATGTGCAGGTGTTGCTTTTGTCAGATGAATGCTGCCTGATTTCTGCTGCTATGTAATTCACGTGAATCAAGATTAAGAAACCACTTTTTATTACATAAGCTTGGAAACAAGATAAATGTATTTTGCTTTTGTGCAGCACGTATTGGGTATCTGTTTTTGACGAGCATTTAAAATGTTTTCTAGTACAATTGGGAGGAATGCATTATCTCTGATATAAAAGGAGTACAGTGCTAAAATAGTCCTCCTTAATTTTGGTCAGAATGAACAAAAGTGTCTGTGTTTATTCCTGCCTAATGCATCACAAATCTGCTGACATGCTAACCTTGGAGTCTTGGCTGGCGGTAATCAGGCCTGTGCACCGGCAGGAAAGATGTACCTAATGCACTCCATCAGTGCAGTTTGCATATGGAAGTTCTCACAGGGGAGCTGCCCTGTGCCAGCTGAGGGTTACCTGCCCACTGCAGTTATTGTATGTAATTATCGAACCAATCTGTTCAGCCCAGCAGGGTTTAGATGGTAATCATGAAGCAACACTTTGGAAAGGAAGGATGTAATGCACTCTCCCCTTCTCTCACGAGCTATGTGAAGTTGTAGCCACTTTTAAAGCTGTATTAGTAAAGCTCTAGTCTCACACAATTAAAAAAAAAAAAGAAAGAAAATAGTAAAGGTAAGCTTCCAGCGTTCATCTGTGTTGGATACAGATACAGGTCAGCTCATCCTTTGCAAAAATCATGTGGCTTTAAAAAATAATCTTTCCTTAACTACCTTAAGAATATTTTGCAATAGTGAGATTAATTGTAATACACAGATAATAACAATTCTATCCATTTAGAGGTTTGAAGATAATGTACCTTGAACAGAGTTCAGATTTCCCAAGTACCTCTCTTTGGAACAGAACCCATAGCTGCTATCAGAAAAAAATAATAATGTACTGTCAGTGGGTGTTTAGCTACTTTTAAGCTGCGCAAAGCCTTAAGAAGCAAGGATCCAGATAAACTTGAATTTAATGAGGTGTAACATCAACTTTGGGTAAAGTGTTTTTTGTGTTAAGATTTTTCAGACTGCTCCTTTTGTAACAGTTGTTCCGTGTTAATAAAAAAATAGGTTTTGATCATAAAAACTTGTGTTTTCATACATTCAAATTTCAACTCCTAATGTAATCTGCAGATGGGGGAACTGAACTTTTAAATATTCTGTTGCCTAGTACTAGTATTGCATTAATATATGAATACATTTTCTCTACAACTGGAGACATTTTATCATGTGTGGAGAAATAATGCTTAAAATTAGGGAATACCTTGTGAGACTGAGATATTTTCTACGTTGTGTGGTCTTTTCTGCTCCTGAGTTCAGTTGCATTTCTTCTTTTTTTTTTATTTTTTTTTTCTTTTTCTTTCAGAAAAAAAGAAAGGCAGCAGAAAAAAAGGCAGCAACTGCAGCCAATGAGGGCACTGAAACAGAAATGGAAGTTACAGGAAGCCCAGAAAAAAAGAAACGTACTACTTCTAGTAAGTCAAAAGATTGTTTCCAGAGTCACATGCACTGGTGTGACAGGTTAACCCTGGGTAAGGACCAGACTCCCACCCAGCTACTCACTCTCCTTCTCAGTGGGACAGAAGGAGAAAATAGGATGAGAAAATTCATGGTATGTTTTGGGGAAAGAGGGGATCTTATGGGGTTTGTTTACCACTTACTGTTGTGGGCAAAACGGATTCAAGTAATTACAAAGATGTTTTTCCTGAGGAATTTTTAATTTGGACTTTTAAGTAAAAGACCAAGTAAAAGTCTGTGGTCAAGCAGTCTAAAAATAATAAAGCGGTAGCACTGGAATCTACCCCAAAGTAAACCTGCTTGTTTAAAAGAGGTTTGATGGAGGATGGCAGGTTGGGAAAACGTAACATTTCAAAGACAGTAATATTACTGGTAAGTTATAGATTTACACTACTATGTTTACTCAAACAGGGTGGTATGAAGTCCAAGTAATTAAGCTAATGTTATTCCAGGAGGTAACACTGCTATGTTCATTTCCAGTTTTTCACATTATAGAATTCTGATCGTTAAAATCGGTGATTATTTGTCTTACTGGAATGCCTTTTGAATTGTTGACTTAAACTTATGAATTTTCTAGTCTGTAGTTGTCTGAAAAAGGGTTAATTAGACTATACTTTCTTTCAAGGAAATAAAATTTTTGATATGATGCTGATGCTTATTCATAGTTTTATCATTTTAGATTTCATGTAAGACCTTAAAATATTTAGTACAGCTGACTATTTTCTGGTTGTGATTTGATACACTTGAGCAGAATGTACTTTAGTTTTATATTTCATATTACAGTTCTTTTTTCCTGGGATTCTAGATTAAAATTCTCATAGATGGAGATGAAAAGGAATTTGAGGAATTGCAATCCAAGTGTTGGCATCAGTTTTTGTAAATGCTAAGGTTTTTCAGACTAAGTAAAGGTGCTTGGGAGGCTATATGTATATTCAACATCCAGTGGTTAAAATGAGCGAGAGACATAAATTTGAACCTCCTCTTGTAAATTCGATAGAGTTTCAGGCAAAATAGTTCTAATTTCATGTTTTTATACTATCCATTTTAATGAAGACCAAGTGAGGGGAATGCGTCAAGTGATTTCAGGTGAAAAGTGGTACATGTACTTACTAATTTGGTTCTCTCCAAATTTGGAATTAAAAACTTTACCACTTATTACATGATTCATGAATCTGTGTTGAAGGAAAAGGTGACTGTTTCATAATCTCATGATTTTTATGTTTTTGATAAACTGAGAAAAACTGGTTATTATAGAAATACTTAAAACTGCATTTCCAGTTCTGACTAGTTATATTTACCATAAACTTGTTTCTTCATACATGATTAGCCCTGAAGTTTACTGTCCAGTAAAATGGGTATTTTTCTTGATACCTGTTAGTTGTAGAAATCAGAATTTAGACATACAGGAACATTCTAAAAGTTCCTGAAATGCTATTGTATTGGTATCTAAAAGGGAGAAATATAGCCAGATGGGTTACTCCTCAGGTGTTTAAACAACATCTCATGAGTATTTGGACTTAAAGCAATGACATGAAGAATCATATTTAACTCTTGCTGTTCAGTTAAACACCATTAACTGCATCTCACTGTGCAGTTTGTCTAATCTAGTCCAAAAAATTAGTTGTCACAAAAAGATCCTGAGCTGCTGTGCAGCAGTTTGTACTATACCCAAATGAGGGTGCACAGTGACTACAGAAACTCTGCCAGTAATTAAATGTACTACTGCAAAGGCTTGGGAGCCCCCAGGCTTGGTGGAGGAGGAATAAAGAATGATGCTGAGAAAGGATGGGCACCTTGAAATTCTTGCTGCTCCCACTGGTTGTTCTTAGCGTAGAGCGGCCACTTCAAATGAGTTCATTATAGGCCATTTCTTTCAATTATGTCAGCCATCTGACGTGCTTCTGGAGCTGTCAAGCAAGAGCGTTAGACTCTTCTTTTTAGAAACAGAATTTCAGAAAGCCCTCAAGAAATGGGCTGTGTTATACTTTCAATATAAGATGCATAAAATTTTGTGCAATTCTTAAAATGTTTTTTATTTAAATTAGCTTGTTACCAGTTTTGTCTTCCCCCAGCCCCCTGTAATAACTGGAACCCATATGCTTTCCAGAAAGGTGGAATTTTAAGAGGTATCCTTTTTAAGGTAATATGGATGATGGTGAAGTATTGTATTGGTCAATGTCTCTCCACCAAGGAAAATGCTATCAGAAGTGATGATTTCTATTTTAAATGAAAAGTTGTGGTTTTTTGTTTTTTTGTTTTTTTTTTTTTTTTACACTCTATTACAGCTCCATTTTCAGTATTATGTGCCTTCATATGTGATAGTAAAATATACAGGCTTATAAGTGATGATGCTGTTAAAGCAGAATACCAAATTTTGGCATACACTGTACGTATCCACCAACGCTTCTGCAGGGGTGTATTGCATAATATTAATAGGACTAATATGCTTGTTTTTAATCAGTTTGCATGGAGTAGGCAGCCTGTATAGGGAACTTGAAAATGGCATAAATGGTGGAAAAGTAGGTTTTATAGAATTTGTAAATAATCCTATGTTCAAAGCTACCAGTAGAGATAAAACCCATACCACCAGCAATTTTTTTTAATCTTGGGGTTGATGAAGATTGGATTCTAGAAATACAGAATTTTTTTATAACAGGGTTTGTTTTTTTTTTTTTTTTAATTTTTTATTTTTTATTATCCATTGTGAATTTTTTCTGAACAATTTGAGGGATTATTAAGTGGGACAGTATAAAAAGAAGTACTGACGTAGACATGACAATGAAAGTACTATTTCTTTTAATGTCCTTTCTTAATAGACTCTTCTGCTAGGGGTAGGAATTGTGCATGTCTGTATTGCTGGATAGCATCTAGCATGGTAAGGCCTTAACTGGCATCTTCAGATACTCTTGCAGTATAAAAACCTGTGTGAACAGCTCTGATATTAAAACAGTTATACTGATGGATTGGTTAGAAGGCTTTCCAAAATGGAGGTTTAATAGTATTTCTCAATTAATAGGTACTTAGCTTTATGTTTATTTACATTGCATGGCTTTGCATAAATCAGTATCTGGGTTATTGTCTCGGAAATCTTTTTCTCTTTATTCAAGCAAGATTTATTATTTAATGTTGGATTAAATCTACACGTAGGCTCATTTTTATATTTAAAGAATTATTGGCCTTGTCATCAAGCTTTAGGAGAAAGCAAATCATACGTTTTTCTTGAGCTTGTTTATGGCACCACTTGTTACTTTTCTTGCTACTCCACACTGATGCCCATATTATAGGTAGATTTTTACCTGTTAATTTTACACCCCAATAAAAACATATATTTTCAGCAAAACCTGTACTTTACAATAGTTCCAACTGACCATTATTCATGTGGTCCTTCTTGTGAGGGATTTGATATCTACTAGTATCTGTAACAGACTCCAGGAGTAAGTGGGTATTTGCCTTAATACAGTGTATGTCTGACTCGGCACGAAAAGATGTGTCCCTTTCTTTGCCATTCCTAGCCTTCCTTTGCCTGCAAATTTAATGTTCTAGTATGAGTGTACATCACCTGCTTTTAGAAGTTAAAATCATGTGCTTGCATGTTGTATGTAGAAGTTAACACAAAGATTCAGGTTTTGGAGCAGAGAAGTACTCAGTTGTCAAAAATATTGACAAACTTGCTTCAGTGGTTTGCATTTTGTACACTCAAACACAATATAAAGTGATCTGTCTTTTTGTGGCCTTGTCCCAATATTGTTTGAGGACCTTCAAAAGCTATTTAAACTAGAAGAGGTGTGGTAGGAGGTGATTTTTAAGTATAAAGATCCTTAAATTATGGGTAAAAACATTGAAAATAAATTGGATATAAAACAAATACATCTTTGTGGTTCTTCCTAAATAATGGTTTTCCTTGTCAATTCACGAGTGTCAAATTCACTGAGAAGCACCTTGAACGTGTTTCACTTGTAATAATAAAAAGACAAAATTAATGTCCAAGATGTAAAGTATGGGGCTGTACGTGTTTACTCCTGTGTCTGCTTATATTTGTATTTTAAGCTTATTTCTGTACAGTCTCTTCAGACCGCTTCTGGCACTTACACACTTAAAATGTAAATACATTTAAGATCCTCGTTATACTTCTTTTTATTATTACTGCTACTTTTTATTAGCATATAAAAAGTATTAATTTAAAACAAAACAAAAATCCTTCTGAAGACAATTTTCCATGGCATAAGCTTTTGTATAATAACTTGACATGTAGAACTAAATCATTTAAGCATAAAAGTGATGTCTGCTTTTTTCTTGGTTTAGTTGGTTTTTTGTTAGTTTTAATTTTTCTTCCTGTGACCTGAAGATGTATTGCAGTGTGCTGAACAAGTGTTGCAATTCAAACTCATAAAATTTGCAAGTGAAATTTTTCTGCAGGAAATAAAGAAAAATTGTACTGCAGTTACTCAAACTTTTACAGGGAACTACCCTTTTTCAAGATTGCAAGTAATATATTTGAGTTAAACTTTTGTTGCTCCTGCAAATCACTGTGTGGTTGGCAGGGAGGCTATTTTTAAACACATGCTGCATGTGGCTGCTGATGTATATGTGTATGTGCAACTGTGTTTTGGAATGTCTTCAGTAAAGTAATTTTTACAAGTAGAAATAAATCCACTATAGTTTTATCTGGAACAATTTTATATTAAAATTTTTAAAAGCACACTCACAATTTGATGTTATCTTCGGGAAATACACAGGCATGAAATCATCAATTAGTACATTTTTGTGTCCTGATGTTTTTCCATATGATAATATGGAAATGTATCAGCTGTATTTGTTGCAGGAACCAGACAGCTTGGAAGAACAGAGTACCTAAAGCCAAACCCTATCCCATAACTCTACAAGCTAACTTTCTTCTCCCTCGTCCCCACCCCACAATCATATATTTCCTGGAAATCAAGTCCATATTTAATCACAG